ATTAATCCATTAAACCAAACTAACCCAGACCCTCTCAGGAGAAGACGCAGGGGCCCGGCTCGAGCCAGCGCTGCCCATGGGAAGTGGCTGCCCCAATGCCCTGGGCTGGGGCCCAGCTGGAACCGAGATGTCTCTGCTCTTTGAGTGCCCTCAAGCCTGCAGCTCTGGCAGTGGGGCTCACGACCGGGCTGCCCCCCCCCCCGGGGGAATTGGGGCTTTTCTGAAAGCAGAAGAACCCAGTGAGAAGGTGCCCGGGGAGGTGGGGCTGAGCCAGCCGGGAACGGATATCGCGCCCTGCTTAGAGCCCATTGCCCTGGCATGCCGAGTGATCCAGAGGGGCAGTGGGTGGCTTCCTGCAGACAAACCAAAGCACCACCCCCAGCTCACCCACCCCCCCAGGGGCTGCGCTGGGAGCCCGGCAGGGACATCCGGGAGCAGGCCCCTGCCCTTGCCGGCCCATGTGCAGACACCCCAGCTCTCCCACCCAGCGGCTGCCAGCATGTCTGCCACAGCTTCCCACTCCCCCATGGCAGCCCGGCCCTACAGGGAGGTGGCACCCGCTGGACACAATGCTGGGCTCTGTGTGGCCCATGCCAGCTCGGGGTAGCATGGCCCCACTGAGCGAGCACCCCCAAGCAAGGAGCAGACGGCCCCGAGCTGATGTAATGTGTTCGGAGGTGCCCCCACGCTCCCAATACTTTGCTGTCTGTGGTTTCTGCCCACTCCAGTCAGGACCCACGCCCTCAATGGGGCAGGGGGACGCTGGCCCGTCCCAGCCCCCCCTAAAGCTCCAGATAGAAGAGAAAGGAGCCTCCCCTCCCCCCGGTGGTCTCAGAGGAACCCAGATTCCTGATGAGTGCGTGAGACGCCCCCCCGCATCCCCTCCAGCGGCCGTGCCCCCTCCCCGTGGCTATGCTGTAGATGTGTAAAGGGCCGTTCTGCGCCGAGGGGAGGGTTTTTTTTCAATGTAAACACTAAAAAAACTACAACAAAAAAAGGGGGCAAAGACCCCGGTTTTCTGAACAGCAGACGATGTAAAGGCCTTTTAGTATGGAACTTTTCTATCGATAACTTGGCTTATGAATAAATATATGAAACCTTGCTGGGCAGCGGGTGTTCAATCCCTCGTGGAACCAGCCCCACGGGCAGACAGGCACTGGGCACCGGGGCAGGGCTCTAACCTATGTACTGGGGGTGCCAGGGGAACGGATCAGGAGTGCCCTGCACGGGGGGGCATCACAGGGAGGATTGGGGGTGCCCTGCCTTTGAGGGGTGTTGGGATGAGGCTCGGGGAGGATTGGGGGGGCCGTGCACTGGGTGGGCCATGCCAAGGGGCATCAGTAATATGGGCTGGGCTACACATCAGTTACAGTGACACCCAAGGGCCAAGTGTGGCACTGGGGAAAGCTGGGTGCCAGGCCCCGGCTCCATGTGACCCGCTTTGCCTTAGCACTACTCAGAACAGGCCGACAGAACACAGGTTCTAGTCCCCAGTTCTGCCACTGACGCCCTCTGCAGCTACAGACAAGTCCCTTGTGGAGGGGTGGGTGGCTCCGTGCCTCAGTTTCCCCTTCTGCCTGAGGGGTCTCAGTGGCCTCCCCAGGGGAGAGTCTGGGACTCACGGTGGGACGTGCTTTGAGATCCTTGGCAGAGCCAAGAAGGCTGAGCGCTCACCCTGGCTGGCCTGGTGCAGCCCACCCCCTTCTCCAGCAGTGTGGGGTCAGGGTCACCCCATGGCCTGACTGCGGGCCAGGCCCCCTCCCAGCCGAGCCATTCGCAGCATGGGGGCTGTAAATCCCACCGCGGCCCCCCGCAGCTGCTGGCTAATGACTTAGTTTTATATCTTAATTCACAATTTTATTGCCCTCCTCCCAAGCACAGAGACAGAGAGATGTAATTAGCAGCCAATGCAGTTACCGCCCGCCCCGTGCCCGCCGGGCCTGGCTCCAGCGCCACGCTCAGGAAGGGAGCTGGAGCGGCTGCTGGCACAGGGTGGTCCGGAGGCCCAGGGCAAGCAGGGTCTTGCTGGCCCTAGTCCTCCTGCAGCAGCCATGGCAAACACATCTGCTCCCCCCGGCTCGACAAACAGACACAGGGGTGGGATAAATTGAGAGGCTGGCTGGTGCAGTGAGATTAATGGGTGCACTGATGACAGGCAAAGGGGGGCACTGGTGAAATGTTGGGGTGCTCTCAGTTCCAACCCCCATTCTCCAGACAGGGAACCAGAGACATCTAGCTGGGACCTGACTTCCCATGGTCACACTTCAGTGGCAGATGAGTTACAGTCCCAGAAGGCCTATCTGCCAGCCCCACACTCAACCCCCCAGCCAGCCCTGGCTGTCCCCCAGGCCCCAGCACGACCATTCCCAAGGGCAGCAAGCGCCACCCAGCTCCTCTCTGGCCTGTCCTCGCCCAGCCCCCTCCCATGCCAGGGATGCCCCCCGGCTGCTTCCCCATGCAAGCCCTTTTCCAGGCCTCTGCAGGGACTGTGCCTATGGAGAGCCAGCCCCACTGCATTTGGGGCTGCCATGGCCGGAGCGCAGCACTGGGACGCAGGCAGGGCAGAGCTAACCCCAGTAGCGAGACACCAGGATGGGGGCAACTGCGGCTCCCCACAAGCATCGACGGGCAGGGGCGTGAAAGCCCCCGTCTGGGAGCTGGGTAGATTCCAGAGACAGCACCAGGAGCTAGGCATCCCACGGGGCCAGAGGCCCCAGGCTGGGGGGCTGAGGCCAGCAGCCCTGCAGTGACTGGCTTGGGGGCTCTTAGCCATGGGAACGCTGGCCTTTCAGCACCAGTTGGATCCCACGGCCATCACAGGTCCCCCCGCGGTTTTCTCAGCACTGGCTGTGGGCGCTGCCCGGCTCAGCAGAGAGGTACAGAGACCAGGCTCCCCCCCAGAAGTGGGGGCATGTTGCTGGGGTCCAATTTCTGTCTCCTCTCGCAGGCAGCCAGAGCGCCCCCAATGTCTTCCCCCTCCCCTTCCCCCACACCCACCAGCCCAGCTGCTCCACGTTGGTGCTTCATGTCTCTCCGCGCTGTGCGGAAAGTGATCCTGCCCCAGGGGAGGTCAGCGTGCAGGCCGGGGAGTCGGCTTTCAGCCCAGCACTGCTGCCCAGGCCCCCAGGCCACGCCAGCCCCTTCGCCCTGACAGCGGGCTCGGCTTAATTCTGCCCAGCCGAAGAGAGACGAAATTAAACAGGAGCTGGCCCAGCCCCCAGAAGCCTGGCGCGGAGCAGGCAGCCGCACAGCCGCAGGCCCGGCTCTTCCCCGTCCCAGGCTGGGGGTGAGCGCCAGGGAGTGCTGACTGTTGGGTTGTTACAATGGGACAGGCCCCATGGGGCCAGCCACTCCCATCACAGGCGGGCACCCCCCTGACTCACCAGCCTGAAGCAGCACAGGGGCCGGCAAGCTCCATGGACCGCGTCCCCTCTCCCATGCACCCCCATCCCAGCCGGGGCCCACAGTCCCCTGGGGGCGGGGCTTGAGGTCTCCAGCCCTACTTCCCCGTCCCGGGTACCACAGGAGCAAATTCCTTTCCCCATCTGCCAAGGCCATGGCCAGGTGAAAACCCCCCACCTTTCTGCCCCACTCCTGTCTCCACTGTGCCCGCCCCACTGGAAGGCCCCCGGAGCAGGGCCTGTGCTGTGTCCGGGGGCAGCGCCCAGAACACACAGGGTTAAAACCGGCGCGCCTGGCCTGTGACCAAGACAAATGAGGCGCTATGGGACCCGCCACAGCAAGATAAATGGTGGCACCGGGTGACTTTGATCAATACACGTGACGCTGGCGCAGGTAGAGATGACAAGCAGGGCCGATCGCAATTAGTTTTTAATACCACAAACCAATTGGGGACGAGGGCACGTTAATTATTCATCCACCAAGCACCAGCCTCGCCTCCTACGGAGCTGCGTGGGTGGGGGCCAGGCCAGAGAGCAGCAGGCACCCCTGGCCGGTGCCCCACAGCCACAGGAGGGGGGCACACAGGGATGCCAGGGCTGGTGGTCTGAGGATCCCCTGGGAGGCATTTTGGCTGATGGACAGATTCTCCCAAGGGAGCTAATGGGCACCACAGGACACAGTGTCACCAGGCCAGGTGCCCGCCCAGCCTTGCCAGCATAAATGGGCACTTTGCCCGGTCGAGGGTGAAGCAGAGACGGGTGAGTGGGGAGGGGAGACACGCCGCAGGAGAAGCCTTCCCAGACTCCTCCCCCTGCTAAGCACCACACGGGCAGCCTCCTGCCCCCAGGCAGCTGGCACCTCACCCGCTGGGCATGAGCCGACCCACCAGCCCATGACGAGCTGTCACGGAGGGTGGGGGGATACAAGGCCCTGCACCCCGGGCTTCCTGCGATTCACCATGACTCTCAGCCAGCCAGTAAAGCAGAAGGTTTATTAGATGATAGGAACACAGTCCAAGACAGGTCTTGCAGGCACAGACAACTGGACCCCCTCACTTAGGTCCATCTTGGGGTCCCAGAGCGCCCCAGCCCCATTGGGGGTCAGAGCCCCGTCTGGGCTCTCCTCCATTACCAGCCAGCTCCTGACCAACCTCAACTCCCTCCAGCCTCTCTCACCCCTCCTCCTCCCCCAGCCTTTGTCCAGTTTCCCGGGCAGAGGTGTTACCTGGCCCCAGCCCCCTCCTGGGTTCTTCAGTTACATGCTCAGGTATCTTCCCTCAAGGCCAGTCTCCCCTCCCCCAGTGCAGACAGTCCCAGCCAGAATAAAACAGCACTCTGCTCTCCCCATCCCACCCCCTGTGCGCCCCCCCCCAGGCTTCGCATCTCCCCCCAAGTCCCCACCCAGCATTCAAAGACCTCATTAAGAACAGTCCCAGTTAGTCACACGAGCACAGGCTGGTCAAGCTGCTCACATCTCTCTGCCCCCCGTCCCCTCTGGATGGCAGGGCCGGATTAATCCTGTTCTGGGGCCGGCAGATCCATGCACCCAGACCCTCTTGTCACGTGCCAGCTG